ATTAACCATGGAAAGGAAAAGGGGCCATTTTTTCCTTCAAAACTAAAGAAAAAGAGACTTTAGAGTCAGTGATAAATAAGTTAAAAGATTACTTACCACCAAGGTGGGTGCTGTCAATAATCCCCAAGCAAAAAACTCCAAAAAGATGACGATAACCGCATGATAAACACTAGGAGAACCTATTCCTTGAGGCTATAAAACAGATTTTTTAAAAAGTTAAGAGTACATTCCAGAATTAATAACAATAATGGCAACAGTCAATAAATATTTATTAAGAACATATATGTACTGGGCACCGTGTCCAACATCTGCACAGACTGTCCCTTGTGCTCAATGTGTCAGGGATGGACAAGAAAACAACTAAATTCATTTCTGTAAGCACAGTGTGCAATGGGAACATACTGTGTGTGGCGGTGCTGGTAATATCGGACTTCCAAGAGACAGGTTGAAAGGCTGTAACAGAGTTAGATGGGTGGGGGTAGAGGGCGGGAAGGACTGCTCAGCCTGCACAAAGGTTCAGAGGCTGAGAGCATGAGGCATTATGGGACTCATGTATGTAGTTCAGTACAATTAGAGCATGGCAGCACGTTGGGGTGTATTGAAAGATGAGCTAGAGATACTCGTCGACTAGCTAAAGAGTCTAAGTTCTGAAAGCAATGGGAGCCACTAAAGGATTTTAAGTAAAACTCACATGATTATATGAAAGTTTTAAGAAAGATTTTTCTGGCAAAGGTGTAGCAGTTAGGAGACTACTGCACTAACTCAAAAAATAAATGAAGCAAGCAGCAAAAATAACAAATATCAACATGGCTCAAAAGCGGAACAGTCCCCAAAGTAGTATGTAAGTGGTTTGGGATTTCATGTACACAAGAAAAGAAAGTGCAAAACTAAGTTCATCTTATACTGCAGCTAGATATGTTGTAAGAATTACTTCAGTTGTTAAGTTTCATATCTTAAAGAGCAATACGAAATTGATGGAAAAACAAATAACCTATAATATCAATTTAGTCTCCACTAAAAAAGTTTGTATGATAAGACAAGATTTTCTAGACAAATGTCTAAACTACTCCTATTTGGCCTCATCAATCAACTTAAACATTTAAGATCCAGATTTGCATGCAAACAAACACAAATTACAATGTTATACCTAAGTTTTAAAGAATATTCAACAGACTTGTGCAAAAATATTAAGTTTTTGGATTTCTCTATATACTGAAAACAATGCTGTATTATTTTTAGTATTGCCACAATGCATCATCAATCATTTAAAATAACAGAGGTCTCTCCCAACCTATAGAATTCAGGTACTTGAAAACCCCTGGGGTAGAACTCAAGGTTGAAGGACCACTGCTGGAAATAAATTTGTGTAAGATCTCATTCATTCAAAATACATGTACAGAGCACCTAAGGGTACCAAAGGTTCCAGAATTACAAAAACAGTTAAGACAGACACCTGATGCCAAGGAGTTTATAGTCTAGAAAGGAAGAAACCTCATTGTAATCATCTGCTTATATGTTCATGCAATAAAAGAGATATGCACAGATTAGGAAGCAGGAGAAGAGTACTGAAAGAAAAGAGAGTGGTGTTGATAGTCACTTTGGAGAAAACCAGAATGAAGTAGACAAGGGCCATAACCATCTAAAGCTGCTGGAAAATAAGGAGAGGGAGGCAGAAGAGGTAGCCTCTATACTTTATTAAGGAAATTCTCATCTTTTCTTAGGAGACATAGGAAACCACTGAAGGGTTTCAAGTAAGAGAATGATCTGATCAAACCTGCAATTTTCAATATATCACTGGTGATTTCCTAAAGGATAGAACTGAGGAGCAAAGTGCATGCAAAAGGAGGCTATTTGAATCAGCTCAAATGAGAGGATGAGGGCATGAAATAGTGGAGTCGTACAGACTCCGGAGGAGAGAGAATGGATGTAAGTATTCAGAATTTGAAGATGGCAGAACTTGATAAATAGGGGGAGGGAGAGTCAGGAATGAATTCCAGATTTTTAGGTTGACTGTCTAGTAGCAGAAGTTGGTGGCTTCCCAATACTTTTTCTCCCACGAGGCTCAGATTTACTTCAGGTCCTATCTATGAGATTGTCCTCTTTCCTTATAACATTTCTATTGTCTTTCAGCCCTTATTAAAACAATTAGTCAGCAGCAAATGTGATGTTTGAAACTACCAGAGTGGATGAAATTTTCAGGAGAGGATAAAGTGTAAAAAAGCAGTGGGCTAAGACAGAACCCCAAGGAATGCCAACATTTTAGTGGTAGGCAATGGAAAAGGAACCCATGAGGAAGATAAAGAAAAATGAGAAAAATATTAGGAGAATCAAAAGACTACAGTGTTACAGATGATAAAGGAGTAGCTTTAGGAAAAAGGGGTGATGACCAGTAAGTACCAAATGAAACAAGGATAGTAAGATAAGATCAAAAAATGGCCATAGGATTTGGTAAGCTCCAAATGTATTGTTTACCACCACATATACCCAGCACCAAGTAGAAAGCTTGGTAGAACTTCTCAGGGCCTTTAACATGCTAACTTATATTACAAATCTCCAAGAAAATCCAGTGTGCACTGTTCTTCAACCTCGGACGTGGAGTCCTTTTACACAACAGATAATATCTCATGGACACTTGAGTTCTGTGGAAAGAAGTTTGGGAAATGCTGATAAAAAGATGGTAATTATATTAAAAATATGTAATATACACACAGAACAAAACGGATAGTAGGAAATAATGTATTAAAAGTGGCTGTATGTTTAAATGAAGCACACTTAGTCAAGAGGAATGTCAGACGAGGCTTCTCAGGAGAAAGGCAGTATCATCTAAGCTAACACCTCACAGTCCAATGGGAAAGATGTCAGGATTGTCAGGTGTGTATGGGATGGGGTGGGAGGTGAGGGGAGATATGATGACCAAGAGTATATGAGGTAAAGAGAACATGATATGTGAAGGCCAGAAAACAGGAGACATTACAGCTTATTTCAGTATCTGATACCTAAGGAGGAAAGCGGCAATAGTTGAGGCTGAGAGGTTAGGAGAGGTGAAGTTGGAGAGCTAACTCGAAAAAGGTCTTTTAAGTCACATTAAGGCCTTTAACCTAAGGCAGCAGGAAAACACTGAAACGTTTTAAGCCAGAGTAAATCACATCACGGGACTGCCTTTCTAGAATAACAACTTTCACTGTCATGTGGCAAATAGGTTGGAAGGGAATCAGAAAAACCAGAAGGCAGGTTGTTGCAGAAACCCAGGTTAGAGGAAACAGTAACCTGAATAAGATGGTGGCAGTAAGAATGGAGTAAAGCAACAGGACTCAGTGGTTGACCAGATGTAGCAGAGGGGAAGGGAAGATCAGCAATGAAGAAATAAGATTTCAGTTTCTGGGTTGGTTGACTAGACAGTAAGGAATGGAGAAAGCATAAAAGATTAATTCCGTTTTAGTCATACTGGTTTGAGAAAAACATGCACAACATTAGCTGAATTTAAAAGGCAAACAAATTGAGGAAGATTATGCAAGAAATAACAAAAGATTACTATCTTAGCCAGGCGAGGCATTCATAAAAACCAATACAAAAGCACTAAGACATTATAAAAAATATAAAGGACATACACTGATAATTTTTAAAATATTTAATAACATCCTATCCTATAGAAATAAACATTCAGAAAAAGCTCTTCCACAAAGATATTCATGGCAGCATCAATTATAATAGGAAAAACAGAAAACTAAATGTTCAACTTTTTGTTACATACCCCATAATCAAATCACAGTATGTAAATCAGAATAATATACAGCCCCAAATTATTTATAGATTTATAATGACACGTAAAAATGCTTATGGCAATGTTAAATTTTAAAAATATCAAAGTATGAAATAAAATTATATATGTAGGGTAATTTCAACCATGAAAAACACACAAAAAAATCTGTTTACTATACTGTTCTGAATTTCCTAAATCTTTTCTAATGAGCATGCTTGTACTTTTAGAGAAAGATGTGTTGTTTATTTAGGAGAAAAACTAGGTAAAACTAGAATGGAGAAAGATAGGTAGGCTGCATATACTTGTCTCTCCTGAATCATTCTATCAAATTTCCCAGAATTGGTAGGAAAACATATTATTATTTATTTTTTTAAAAAGCAGGGAGGGAAGATATTTGCTTGTTCTGAAGTATTTGGTTATTTATACACATTCATCTCTTCTATTTTAAAGAATTCAAACGCAATACAACATTTTTATAAAATTAAAAAAGATTTTACTGATTTGGAATTAAGAAAACTTCTAGGTAGGACTTTGACACAAGCACTGGTGGTTGTAATGGAATACCCACCCATAAGCAAAATTTCAGGACAATTTGGGAATATTTGATCATGAACTAGGCAGAAAAACCAGAGGGGAGAGGTAATGGATAAGAAGACATGAAAATATTTGACCAGTTAGTAGTTTACAGTGTCTAGAGTAGAGAGCTCAGATCATAAAGAGATCTTATCAACAAATGACATTTGAGGATGGCTCAAGAAAACTGCAAGGGATACAAAGTGAAAAATTCTCAGGGAGACAAAACTGAATCTAAACTAACACATACCCAGCCACTAATGCCAAGACATGCCACCAAAAACTATAATAACTACTAAACCAGAAGTCCATTCGGCTGAGTAATTTCTCTCTTATGAAGGCATAAGAGATGGTTCCATGGTAGTCATCTCTAACTTTAACCTCAGAAATCAGGGGCCATCTCCTTTATCCCTCAATTCTACCCCTCAATCTAATCACTAAATTTCCAAATCATACTTTCTATTGGTAACAGGTAACAGACCATAGTTTTGTCACCTAGGCCTTTGGCTGGGCCTCTAAAAATCTACTTATTTATTATTTTACTCTGTTACATTGAACAACTTTTATAAAATTTATCTATGTAAAGTACTTATTTTATTTGGCCTAAACTTACCTTTTTCAAGCTCATTGCTCCTTGAGGCAGCCCTGTGCTTTATTCTTCTATGATCTGGATCATCTGGCACATGCATAGCACAAAGGTGCTTAACAGATGTTTGTAGAACTGAAATGAATTATTCTACAAGTCTCTTCTACCTATTACCATAATATTCAGTATAGTTACTATACTTAAACACAGTACATTAACTTAACTTGCAACTTCCTTATTAATTCCCTCCTCTATACTTTGATATCCCACTGTTCACTACAGTATTTAACACATGGATTATACAGACACTAGATTAAAATAACAATAAAAGAATATTACTGAAGATTTATGATGGTTTTCATTCATAATCTAACTTACTCTTTCTAACAACCTTTCTAGATAAATACTATTATCTCCATTTCACAGTCCGATACAGCAAATAAGAGATGTGGCAGAGTCCAATCTAAGCAACTGCAGAGACCAAATCTTAACTATTGCATATACTACCACAGACTATCACTCTCTTAAGTACAGGGATCAAGTCTTCTCCATTACAGCATCCTAATCCATAGCACAATGCCTGGTATGTAAGAGATATATCAGTGAACCAGGAGCTTATGTGGATTGTTGGCCAGGAGGTAGAAGTTACTCCAAGAGTAACTGGGCATTATAATTCTATTTATTAATTAGCATGCTATCTTGTGAGAAAACAATGAGAATAAACCAAACAGAGTCATTCTGTAAAACAACTGGCTTAGACTCTTCAAAAATGTCAAGATCATTAAAAAAAAAAAAAACAAAAAAAAGCCAAAACAGCTATTCTAGACTAAAAAGAGGCTGAAGAAAGATGACAACTAAGTATAATGATTAAACCCTGCATCAAAAAAACCCCAACAAAACAAACTACAAAGGTGTTATTGGGGCGATTGGGGGAATGTGGCTGTAGATTATATATTGCAAATTAGTGCTGTGTTAATATTAAATTTCCTGACTGTGGTGATTGTCTTGTGGTTATAAGGGAAAATACCTTTATTCTTAGGTGACATATCTAAGCATTTTAGGGATAAAGTGTCATGATGTCTACAACTAATGTTCAGATGGTTCAGAGGAAAAAATGTGAGTATATATACATAGAGAAAGTAAAAGCAAATGTGGCAAAATGTTAACAACTGGTAAATCATGAATCTATATGATGTGCAAATGAATATTCATTGTGCTATTCTTGCATCTTTTCTGTAGTTGTGAAGTCTCAAAAAGTTAAGAAAATAAAAGAAACATGACAAATAACAAAATAAAGTATTAAGAAAAATAATTCTGAACTTAGAATTTAATATTCTGACAAGTTATCAATCAAGAATGAGAGTAAAATCTTCATTAAAAATGCATTTCCTCTTAACAGTATACAGCTAAGCTAACTAAAATAATTTAATGTAAAAGTCTTACACAGAAAAAAAGATACTTAGTTGTAGGCATCAAAGAATTTGAGCTTTTCAGGGAGGGACAAAAAAAAAGTTACTATGGAAAATACTGTAATTACAAAGCTGCTTTAATGAGATCCTGACACATTACAGAATGGCTGCAAGGCTTTACCACTAGTATCTGGTATGGTGGTGTTTTTTCTTGTTTTCTCTGACTTTAATCAAACAGGGCAGAGTTTACTACATTTGTAAAACAAAAAGGAAACCAACCCTCAACTTTCTGAAAATATGAATCACCATAAACATATACTGACACCATTATGCTAATTAAGTCACGTTGGCTTAATTTGCATTGATATTTTAAAATTATCTTACATGTTATGGATCGATTTTAAAGTAAGGGATATTCAGTATCTGTGCATCATCACAAAGTAAAGCAGTATTGGTTAAAATTGCTCCTAAATAGAATGAAAGATACTTCTTAAAAATATTCTTCATAGCAGTTTATCAAGATTAAGTTTTATTCTTAAAGTGGGGGTGAGTGTTAGAGTTTGAGATTGTACTGTTTTGTGGTAAATTTTGAAAAGATAAGCAACAAGACAATATAATCTATCTTCCTTAGCAGGAAAAGATGTGGCTGTTAAATCAAGTTAAGTCATCAAAATTTTTCGCTGTTTCAAATGACTGTTTCAAATGACTACAAATTGAACTCACTAAAAAGATAAAATTAAAAATTTAAAAACCACCACTAACTCAAAAATCAAACTGTCACTAATGCCTGTCCTGAAATCAGGACTGGTGTGATTTCTAATTACTCGATTTATATAGCTAAATGATAAATATATATTATCTACCATTCCTTGATTTAAAAAAAGACTCCCTAAGGGAAAATATTTCATATGATAGAATTTGTAACTGTTTTTTTGTTTGTTTGTTTGTTTGTTTTGAGACAGAGTCTTGCTTTGTTGCCCAGGCTAGAGTGAGTGCCATGGCGTCTGCCTAGCTTACAGCAACCTCAAACTCTTGGGCTCAAACAACCCTGCTGCCTCAGCCTCCCGTGTAGCTGGGACTACAGGCATGCACCAAAATGCCCGGCTAATTTTTTCTATATATATTAGTTGGCCAATTAATTTCTTTCTAATTATAGTAGAGACGGGGTCTCGCTCTTGCTCAGGCTGGTTTCGAACTCCTGACCTCGAGCAATCTGCCCGCCTCAGCCTCCCAGAGTGCTAGGATTACAGGCGTGAGCCACCGCGCCCGGCCTTGTAACTGTTTTTATACATGATCGACAAAGTCAACCCTTTATGAAGAATAGGCTATAACACCTGGCCATCAAAGAGACAAAACCTATTTCAGGGATCTTGATGTACCCCAGCTGAAATCATCAACTGTTACTTTGAGACTTCTAATTCAAAATAGTGCTAAAAGACAACTTGAGCTTTTAAATAAATAAAAAGTTTAAATCATATACACTTGTCAGAATGCTGGTAGAAAAAGCTATTCTTTTTACTTAAACTTTAAACTTTTGGTAGGTGCAAAAGAATAAGGGAATTTCTGCAAATGGTATGATTATATTGGGAAGCAGGTCTTCCCATGTATCAGAATGAACTGGATATATATGGTAATTAATCTGAGAAAACTGCTTACTAATTTAGGTTGTGTAAACACAACCTAAAGCAAACATTGATCCATGGAGGTAAGGAGTTAAAGTCATTCATGGCACTGCCTACAACATCCCTACCAAAGACAGTATATACACCCTGATGTTTCTAGGCATTGGCTGCTTTTTGAAAAGCATCACAGGGTCCCCTCAGAGCTTGTATGCTAGTTACTAAAAGTTATTTAATAGCTTTCTGGGTCCATAGAGGCCTTATACCCCTGAGAGCCATCCTGCCACTACTTCAGCCATCCTTGTAGGTAAAGAGTTGTTGCTGACTCCTATTTGCTCTAATTAAAATCAGAGATACCAAGAAAAAAAAATCTGATGCTCTGCTTTTCTGGGCATATGTATTTCCCTTTGGAAATGATACATTAAGTCTTCTTTTTCCAGGTACATCCAACAAAGCAATTCACACATGCCTTGCTTTCTATCAAAAATTTTTTTTTTTTGAGACAGAGTCTCACTTTGTTGCCCAGGCAGGAGTGAGTGCCCTGGCATCAGCCTAACTCATAGCAACCTCAAACTCCTGGGCTCAAGTGATCCTCCTGCCTCAGTCTCCCGAGCAGCTGGGACTACAGGCATGCGCCACCATGCCCAGCTAATTTTTTCTATGCATATTAGTTGGCCAATTATTTTCTTTTTTTTATTTATAGTAGAGACCAGGTCTCACTCTTGCTCAGGCTGGTTTCAAACTCCTGACCTTGAGCGATCCTCCCGCCTCGCCCTCCCAGAGTGCTAGGATTATAGGCGTGAGCCACCGCGCCTGGCCATCTATCAAATTTTTAAAGTCATTTTACCAATTCGCTGTGAAAGAACCATACATTTTCCACTTTGTCAGAGATGCAGTCCCACAACTGTATTCACACAAAACAATAAAGATCATATTTTAAAAAAGCAAAATCATTTTCTGGGCCGGGCATGGTGGCTCACACCTGTAATCCTAGCACTCTGGGAGGCTGAGGCGGGCGGATTGCTTGAGGTCAGGAGTTCGAAACCAGCCTGAGCAAGAGCAAGACCCCGTCTCTACTATAAATAGAAAGAAATTAATTGGCCAACTAATATATATAGAAAATTAGCCGGGCATGGTGGCGCATGCCTGTAGTCCCAGCTACTCGGGAGGCTGAGGCAGAAGGATTGCTTGAGCCCAGGAGTTTGAGGTTGCTGTGAGCTAGGCTGATGCCATGGCACTCACTCTAGCCTGGTCAACAAGCGAGACTCTGTCTCAAAAAAAAAAAAAAAAAAAAATCACAAGGAAAATTCAATTTCAATAATGTAAATAACTCTTTACCTCTTAGCCTCTAACTGGAATGCTTATAAACAACTTGGAAACAATACATGGTTAAGATTTAACAGACCAAAACAAAATTTTAGTATTCCAAAATGTCAGAATGCATTTTTAATTCAGTGGTTTTATGTAGTCTATACTAAGATACATCAAAATGTTAGTTATATACATTAAAACTTATAACTAAAAACTGTATATCTACAGTATGGATGCTTCAAAAGTGAATCCACCAAAGTCATGGTTACTTTCATCAGTGAAATGGTATACAGTATATGATTAAATAAATATTTACTGACTATAAGCTGCGGAACTTATTCTTTCACTACTTATGCTGTTTTCAAACACAACAACTACTCTTAAACTTTTGAGAAGAATGGACGCTTTGGGGAATCTCCCAAGAAAAATGTATAGTCAAAGAAAATTTTGCAAAAACTTCAGGGTGAACAGGCCCAGGTTAAGAATGCCTGATCAGAATCACATACCTTAATGTAATTTACCTTAATTACATACTACTCAAATAGGCAGCATATTACCCTTATCCTGGCTTCAGAGCCAAATGAAATACAATTTCAAGGAAAAAAATGCCAGTAACTTATGATTAACCTGGTTCACTTAGGAGGGTTCGCTTCACTGCTTCAACTATTAAACACTATAAATCTGCTCTAATTTTTTAGATAAATCATTAACAACTCACTATTCTGTTTATAAATTTTAAAATTGGCTGAACAGGCCTACAAATATGTCATCAGCAGAAGGACAATGGGAAAGAATTTTATTAACATTGTTGAACAGGAGAAAGAAAACAGAAGGGGTTCAGATGGGTACCACTGATCAGGTATGTGAAATAGTGCTCAAAGCCTGTCATGTATGACCGTAAGCCTCAGACACCTGACTCTCAATAAATCTATCCACTGGTGGAACTTTCTAAAATCTCTGAAACTGTAATGACAATAGCAATAGCTCCAAAACATTCTATATGATACAATGAATTTTTTTTAAAAAAATACAAGAACAGAATATCAAATGACAATTTTTTCCCCTTTCTTAAAAAATGTTCCTAACAGTCTGACCTAGTGTAAGCAGAGAGGCAGAAAAGCAAATGCCATTTTAAAATCACTTCTATGACTGTAACAGTTATACTTTTTTCATTTAAGGCTGGAATAGATTAAAATACAAGTACTGCAAAAAATTTCCAACATTTATTGAAATATATCCCCTGATTATGTATAAAAATAAAAATTATAATAAAAATTAATCTAGGAATGTGCTACTACAAAATAAAAGTGTTTTTATCACTTTAAAATTCATGTACTAAGTCCTGTGTCATTCAAAGATGCAAAACAAAGCTCCTATTCTAAGAGTGTCCAGTGCTTAGAATGGAAAGTGAAACATTAAGTGTATAAAGATGAGAAATGATAATACCCCCATGCTCACCTGCTGTAAAGTAAATCAAACAAAACTCCAGAGAGGTAATAAGACTGGAAGGAAAATGTAAGAGTGTTTATCACAGTTTCCATTCTTTTTTTGCAAAGAATACTGATCTTAAAAATCACTTGATCTTATAAAAATATAATCCTCCACTGCCTCTATTTTGTAGATTTTTATGAAGAATTTAAAATATTCTTTCTAAAGGTTGACAAAGGCAACAGTATTTTTCTCCCACATAGCTCTTACCAACTCCATCAAAAGCTATGACTATTCATAACTGATTTCATCAAAGTAATGTTTTAATTAATCAAGCACAATAAAAAGGATCAGAGAAATTTTGAAGTTTCTTTTTTCAACAAACTTCAAAGTTATGACATCTAATAAATCTGATTACATAAAAATATACTCTGAAATCATTACATATGTCCCAAGTTATTTAAATTTAGGCATATTGCCTGGGCCGTGTTCTGAAATGTCAGAAGAAAGTTGTCATGTATTTCAAGTGAATTCAGCAAATCTTCAGTACTGGCCTACTTACATACTGAGTGCTGTGCTAGCAGTTGATCAGGGCTCCAATAAAACATAAACAGAAATGGAATTAAAGGAACCATTTCTGCACACATCTCAGGAAAGTGAAACATGTATTTCACCTTTTCATTCTATTTCAGAACGTGATATCCAAGGGTGCAACAAAGACCAGAGAGGGTAGCAACGGGGAATCCTAGCATTAAAAAGTATAAGTGAGGGTTTGTTTGTTTTTTTTCTTTTTCAATTAAAAATCCTATGTCCCCTGCTGGTTAACTACAACACAGCGCATAAAGTTGTGATGACAACTGTTTCTAAAAAGCAAACATTTTTTTTTCTTGTTCTCAACCTGTCTTCCTTTCAAAGCATCTTCTTCTAATCCTTAGGCCATGATCAATTCTAGTAGTAGTTTTGATCTTACTGCACGAGGTGATGACTGTTCTTTGAAAACTAGCCGAGATTCGGCTGTAGGCCCCAGCTGTCTACCGTCCGGCTCGCGACGCCGGGCAGCGGGGAGGAAGCGCACCTCCCGACCAGGTAGGTCTACGGCACAGTACGCAGCTAAGGGCAGGAGCACCGACGCAGAGCGGCGTGGAAGGAGAAAGCGAACGTACTACCGAGCCGCAGCGGGGTCGCGGCGCCAGATGCCATCCCGTTAGCAACACAGAGAGCCAGGGCTCGCTCCTGGCCCCACGGCGAGCGCGGCGACCGCTTCGCAGGGCCTGGCAGCGAAGACGAGGCTGCGGCGGCGGGCGGGCCGGCCGGCAGGCAGGCAGGCGGGAGAGCCGGCACGTCGCTCCCCGCGGCGGAGGCGCACGTGGGGCGAGAGGCCGCAGGGCCTCCGGTGGCGGCGGGAGCAGAGGGAGGCAGGTGCGGGAGACGCGAGGATGGGCCCCGGAGGCCAGAGGCCTGGGGAGAGGACAATCCCCGGAGCAGCGGAATGGGCGTCCGGGAGCCCGAGACGCCGGCACGGCAGACAGGGTGGGGGTAGGCGGGGGCTCACGGGGGCGACAGCGTGGGGGGCAGAAAGACATGGGATGGGGGCCCCAAGGAGCACTCGCCGGCGCGGAACCCAAGCTCACCGTGCCTCCGTCCTTAATGATGATCTTCTTGGCCAGCATGATACTGCGGTTCGCGGCCCGTTTCTTCTTCTTCCCCTGGGTCATTTTACCATCCTCGTTTCCTGGCGCTGCTGCAGCCACTCCCGGGGCGGCCGGCCCCAGCGGCTAGTGCCGTCCCGCCACTACCGCCGGGCCGAGCCGCTCGGGGCGCCCGCCGCCATCTTGAGGGCCCGGCCTGCCTCCGGCGGCGCGTCACATCGTGCGATCGGCCGACGAGCCCGCCCCGCCCACGTGACGCCGCCCCGCCCGCCCGCTCGCGAGCTCCGCGGCCGGCGCGCACGCGGGGAAGCCGGGGAAGGGAGCCCGCGGGCTCGCCGGGCGCTGCTGGCCGCCTGTCAAGCCCTGCGCTTTCGGTCCACAGCTCGCTTAGTCCTTACGGCAGTTCTGGGCGATAGGGACAGGTACTGTACCCCTCTTCACAGACGAAGGCGTCTGTTTCAGAAAGTTGTTACCTGTTCGCGGAAATCCGGCTGATAAATGGTTGCACTGGAGTTCCGACCAGACGTTCTAAACTGTTAGCATGGTCTCCAACTGTGCTCCAACCAGGAGGGGAACTGAAGGGAACAGTAAAGAGAAACCATTTTCCAGAAATAGCAGGTAACCTAAGAGGTAAAGATGGGTTTTCAGAAACAGTCTTTTGTTTAGCTCCCCCCCCCCCCCCACTGTAACTCAACTGGACAATGCTTGTTTACAGAAGCTCCCTCGTCTCAGGACCTTTTCTGTATTCCCTGCCAGTTAAAACTTACATGACCTCTGTCATAGGCCACTACCTTTCCACTAAATTATCTAAAAATAAATTTGATGGGAAATTTGCTAGAAAGGACAGTTGACACAAGTGGAATATGGACTGTAGATTTAAAGTACTGTCACAATGTTAATTTTTGATTTTGATAACTACTGTGTTGTATAACAATATCCTTTTTCTTAAGAACTAAGTGAAGGAGTACAATGCACGCTACCTACCTTTAAATGGTTAGGAAATAATATGTATATGCATGAGTGTGTATATAGGTGAGGGGTAGAGAGGGACAAAGCGAAATGTTCAAAAATAGTGAAGCTGGGTATGGTGGTTTTAAGATATGTTCACAAATGCAAAGGTATTCCTCTCTGGAAGATACGGAATTTAATTTTCTTCCCCTTGAGTGTGGGCTGGTTTTAGTGACTTTTCCATTTGATAAAGCAGAGTGACAGTATTGACTTCAGAGCCTAGGTCATAAAAGGCACTGCATCTTCCTGCAAGCTCTCTTTTTCATTCATTTTGGGGCCCAGAGCCAGGGAAAGTCAGCTGCCATGTCTTGAGGATATTGAAGCAGCCTATGGAGAGATTCTGTTGCCCAGGAATTGTAGCCTCCTACCAAAACCCAAGTGAATGAGTCATTTCAGAAGTGGATCCTCCACTCCTTACCAAGCCTTTAGCAGACTGCAACCTTTACCAACAAACATCCTGACCACACTTCATGAGTGACCCTGAGCTAGGACCACACAGCTTAGCCACTCCTGGAATACTAGCTCTCAGAAACTATTAATATGTAAGAGAAAATGTACTTTAGTTAAGCCACCAAGCTTTGAGATTGTTACACAGATACAAGTAATATACAGAGTGAAAGGAAAATACAGGGTGAAGGGAATGTGTGAGTTCTTTGTACTATTTTTGCAACTTTTCTGTAATTTTGAAATTTATTTCAAAATAAAATGTTATAAAATAAATTTGGTTGAATTTTCTGTCCCTTCTATTTCCATTCAAACTAGAAATGGAAAAGAAACCAATTTCAATGGACTGTAGAAGATAAACATTTTAGTCTGATGGATACTTCCAGTTATATTTTCCCATCAAGTATGATGTAAACTCATCATACTTGTTTTAAAAATATTTTCATGCTGAAACTTTTTAGTTGAAGTCCACCTGAAGCTCTCTGGAGAAAGTAATATGAAATAAATTTCATAATTAAATCCCCAGGAGCTTGTTTTGGATGGGTGGAGAAGATTGGTGAGATAATTTGTGTAGCTATGCTGACTTTTCATAGCTCCTCAAAATCATACTTCATCTAGCTGCACTAATTTTGTCAGCCTTAAGAATTGGTTATTGTTTAGTCATTCAAAAAATATTTACTGAGTGCCTGTATGTATTTGTCACTGTTATATTAGCCATTGGGGATACATCAATAAATGAAACAATATTTAACTGCATGGAGTTTACATTCTAGAGGGGGGTAGAGTTACAAAACAGAGAAGGAAGATAATTGCAGATTGCAGTAAATGATGTTAGAAATAAAGTAATAAGAGAATTTAACACATACTGAACGTCCAGAATGTCCCAGGCTTTGTGCTAGAAGGGCTGCAATGGTAAACGGGAGATTAGTGCTGTACTAACAGGCCTACTGTGTATATACTTGTGGCTTTCTGTGTGATTTGGGTTGTGAATACAGTTGGCCCTCCACATCCACAATTTTAAAACTAACTTTGGATTAAAAATATTCAGAAAAAACCCACGAAACAATAAAAATAATAATACAAATTTAAAATATAGTGTAAATACACAGCATTTACATTGTATTACGTATCATAAGTAATCTGGAGATAATTTAAAGTATGTAGGAGGATGTGCATAGGTTATATGCAAATACTAAGCCATTTTATATAAAGGACTTGAGCATTCACTGATTTGGGTATCCACTGGATTAGAACCAACCCCCCCTACACACACATTCCAATTCAGAGGGATGACTGTATTCACAAGCTTTACATTAAGAGGTTGATATGTCAGTTAGGGTTCTTTGGTCACAGTGGACAGAAACTAGCACTTGCTAACATAAGCAAAAGGGAATGAACTTGGAAGGATATTCAAAGTTCCAAAATTAATGAGAAGGCCAAGAATGAGGCTTGGAAACAGACAGAAACCAAAGTTTGGAAAGTTCATGAAAACAGTAAATGAGGCACCTTGAAAGGGAGAGGGATTACTTGGAGAGAAAGGCAAGCAGCTGAAGCTAAGGATTCCATAAGAAACCAGACTATCACAGAATTCAAACCTACTCCCCCTCTGGACCATTTATTAAGGAAACTGCACTTCACTGTGCTAACAGAAGAGGGCCTTCTTTAACTATGAAACCAAGTAAATCAGCCACATCCCTTCTTCCCTCCCTTCCATAAAAACATCTGTTATTGCTGATCCAAGAAAATCCTACACATTTTATCATGAATAGAAAAGCCACCAAAAATCCATACAAGACTACTACAAAAAGAAAACAGAAAATGAAAACTTCAATTAATAGAAAATACTACTCTTGCCCAGCACAATGGCTCATGTCTGTAATCCTAGCACTTTGGGAGGATGGGGGTGCTGAGGGGTGGTGATCCTTTGAGCCCAGAAGTTTGAGACCAGCCTGAGCAACACAGGGAGACCGTCACCACAAAAAATTAGCTAGGTGTGGTGATGTGCGTCTATAGTCCCAGCTACTCAGGAGGATCACTTGAGCCCAGAAGTTTGCAGTTGCAGTGAGCTAAGATGACGCCATTGCACTCCAGCCGGGTGACAGAGTGAAACCCTGGAAGGAAAGGAAAGAAAAGGGAAATAAGGGAGAAAGGGGAAAAGGGAAAGAGAGAGAGAGAAAGAGAAGGAAAAGAAAGACAAAGGAAAGGAAGGAAAGACAGAAAAGAAAATATTTCTTTAGAAAATGTGAAGAAGAGGAAAACAACACTCCCAACATAAATTAAATATCATTAAATAAGCAATTGCAGATATGAAAGAACACAACATTTTAAAACTCAATAGTAAGATGTAAAATGAAAGTAGATCAAACTCAGGCAATACTGTATACTGAAAACATAAAATCATCTGAAAACTGAAAACTACGGAATACCTGAAAGAATAGATACAAATAAAGTAAGAAACATGGAAAAGAGAAATGTAATAGTTATGAGAACAAAAATGAAAGAAGTAAAAAGGATCAGAGATAAAATGATATAGAAAAAAATTATTTGGACCTCCAGGCAAAAATCAACAACAAACAAAATGTCATTTCCAAAAGGAGAAAAAAATCAAGAGGTGCCAGACTTCTTAATGATAACACCAAGCAACACAACAGTGAAGCAACATTTTCAAAAAACTCAGGAAAGCATTAGCCAAGGATTTTGTATGTAGCCAACCTGTACTTGAAGTATCTAGGCTCTAGAAGAAATTTTAAACATGCCAGAACTCAGAGAACACGTACAGTACTTACAAGCCCTCCTTGAATAACATACTAGAAGAGCTTCATCTGTCTAAGAGATGATTGAGGAGGCTTTAGATAAAGTTTTAGTGGAGACTATTAAATGTGGTTTTTGTTGTTGTTGTTTTTGAGACAGAGTCTCGCTTTGTTGCCCAGGCTAGAGTGGGTGCCATGGCATCAGCCTAGCTCACAGCAACCTCAAACTCCTGGGCTCAAGCAATCCTTCTGCCTCAGCTTCCCAAGTAGCTGGGACTACAGGCATGCGCCACCATGCCCGGCTAATTTTTTCTATATATATTAGTTGGCAAATTCATTTCTTTCTATTTATAGTAGAGACGGGGTCTTGCTCTTGCTCAGGCTGGTTTCGAACTCCTGACCTCGAGCAATCCGCCCGCCTTGGCCTCCCAGAGTGCTAGGATTACAGGCTTGAGCCACCGCACCCGGCCTAAATGTGGTTTTATGGTTTGAAGATATTTAATTTTATATTAATACCAAAGACAGGGACTAGGGTTGGAAACAGTCTGAAAATAATATACATTCTAATCACATAGAAATAAGGCAACTAAAAAAATAAGAGAAGGGAGAATATATTCATTGACTGTCACATAGACAATTAGGTAACAGAACATCATTTCAAGCTGGCAATCAAATAGTAGAAGCCAAGGCAAGCAAAAAGAGGGCTGGTTCTAGAAGCATTCCATAAAATGTTTATCAGTATAAATATAACCACTAGAATATAGAGATTCTTCTAAACATCAAAATAAATTTTATAAACCAGACTTCATGTTGTGAAAGAAATGCAATAAATATAGTAATATACATATTTATTTACTTTTTAAAAAGAAACACAGGATAGGTAAGCTAGAAACTAATGAAAGTAACTACTTGTAGGAGGTAGTTAGGAATGGAGCAGAGAGAGAGAGGCATGAGAGCTAGACTTTTCTGAATATACTTTTCATGTAAGTTGCAACTTTTGATATGTTCACTATGTCAAGTTTAAAAAAAGCTTCAACTTTTGAACCATATCAATGATTCATATATTCAAAAGTAGAATGAAAATGTTAAAATTCTTGAACACATAAACTTGAACACAAACATGAACAAATGAACCTAATTATATCACACTGATAACCAAAAACATACAGTAAAGTGATTTTCATTAACTTTTGAACACATACTCTGATTAGTCATCCTTAGTGTGCTATATTCCAAGGTCAAAGAAAAATGCAAGGAAATCTTAAATTTTACTCAGTATGTTTACCATTAGTAATATAATATTGGTATTGTGCTGAAACAAATACTATATAATTAAATATATAAATAAACAATGTCATGAGGAACCAAGATTTTTTCACTATAAGAGAAAACAGGCAAATATAAAAAGTTATGATG